CATTTTTGTTTTTCTTCATGCAGGAAGCATTGCTTTTTTCACGTGGAGAAGCATTCAGAACACACACAGAATTTTGTGTGTAGAACCCAGAATTCTACCGGCCTTTTTGTCTGGTTATAATGCACCCATCTGCCTTCTTCTGATGTTAACTTTGGGGCACTGGAGCCAACTGCTGCAGTTCCAAGCTATGCAAAACTATCTCCTGCTCACATTTTTTGCTTGGGCATTTGGGGGGTGGGGTACAGTCAGAAGAGCTGCCCCATTGGCAGAGTGAAGAGATGCAGTGTGCAGTGCTGAATTCTCCTGGGTTTTGTGTTGCAGCTCACAAGGAGGCCCTGGATTGCCAGATATCTATGATGGTTTGTGCTCTTCTCACCACTCCTGGACCTCTGGCAGCGCTCTCTTGGAGTCTAATCGTATGGGTTGCTGCGCTGAGAGACATCTTCAGTTCGGGATTCCTCTTGTTCCAGTGCTAGGACCCAACCCCAACCCTCCCTGCCTCTGTCTTCCAAAGGCTTCTGTGCCACTCTAGTGGCGTTCAGGATTTCCTTTCACACCCCTGCTCAGCATCCTATGGTTTCTTTGGGGCCAGGCATGTGAAAGAAAAGAGCGTACATTTCCAGGCAGGCGGAGCATTAGCTGTGATGATGCAAGCCACTGGTGGCACTCATTATGCTGAAACAAATATGCATGGTTCAGCCGCCTTGTGCTGCCTCGAGCACCCACTGAAGGGACCCAGCAGGTGTCCGGTGTATGTTTCATGTCCTTCTAGGTGCCAGTTCTAGCCCTCCCGAAAGGACAGAACGAAGAGCGATTTCACGTAGTTTCATACTGAACCAAAGCAGTGGTCCTTCACCACTAAAGTTACCCAGAGGTAAGCCAAGTGGTGTAGAGGCACAGGACTAGTCTTCAGGTCAGGCAACCAGCCATAAATACTTGTGCTCATGAACATCCTGATTGTTCTTGTACCAGTTTATGAAAAACACTAATCTAGTGGTGATATTTGTATCCAGAATTGCATTGTTAAGTGTAAATCATATGTGTGAGCTCACACATATGTGCAAGCACAGCTAATTCGGGTGCTGATTGGGTAGCCAAAGAGGGCTGCTGAGAAACAAGGCAGAAGTACTAGTATTCTTGCTTGGATAAACTGTAAAGTTTGGAGGAGTAGAAAAAAACTTCATGGTAAAATTTCAAGGAAATGGGAAACACCCAAAGCAGCCCAGAGGGACACTGCATGTTGAGTCGCTCTTGGAAGTATGTGGGTGCAGGGGAACAAAAAAATCGTGTGTCGAGGAAGGGCAGGGCAGGAAATCTCCTCCTGGTAAAGAGCTTGGAAGGATAGAGGGATGGTGGAAACTTAGAACAAGGATGATCAGCACTGCAACATTTTGTTGCAGTTGCCACTTGTGCATTTCTGATTGCCATCTTTAGGCACTGCAGGTGCTGCCGGGTGCTGCACTCTGCCACACGCAAACTGTCCCTGGCATTTAGACCTGGAGAGGAATGAATTCCAATTTCACTCTTTTAAATGGAAAGTACAAATAAAATATTTATCACTAACACATGTAGGAAAAGCAAGTCCATAAAACATGTATTTTCTTGGACGAGTCATTGCTTGTCATAAAATAGTTCATTGAGTGGCAAGGAAATTTAACCTCAGACATCTGATTAAAGGTACTTTTTAAATATTTAACTAAAAGTAATTAATATATTCTGCTGCAGTTTTAAAAATTCACCATATTTTGAAAAAGAATTCCTCAAGACAAGAATTCCTCAAATTGCTTCTCCTTTGGGGCAACTCTTTTCTTCAGGCAGTGGTCCATGGGGTCAAAAATGTATTTTACTGCAAATGCCCTCCCCCTTTATAATTGCACAATTCCATAATACTAGTGTTAAGGAAGGCACCATTATCCATCATACCCAGTCAGGTATAACTAGTGCAAATGCTAGTGCACATAATTGAATGCATGCCTGAGTAGCACCAAAGCACAGCATGGCCACATTTCCTAACAGCCCCGACCTGCCTCTCTTCTAGGCTGGATTGCTAGCCCTTGCTTCGTTCCCATTTGGTATTAGGTAGTTCCTGGAACATTTCCCAAGCCCCCATAACTGAACCCATCCTACCTATCTGCCCACGCTCTCTGCTGACCGGGATCATGTGTTTAGAGAAGAGAAGAAGCCCCGCTTCAAGGGCTGCAGACATAAGGCAAAGCTACCCACGTGTGCAGATGCCTTGTCAGTCAGCAGACAAAAACTCAGATTTTAGGAGAACAGATGCGTGTGTGGGCAGCGGCAGGAGCGAGGCAGGAGCTGAACTTTGCATCAGACTCGGGGCTGCCATCAGATCTATATATAAAGGACAGCGTGGCAGTGTGACTAATACTGCGGCTGAAGCTCCCCTTGCCTGGATAATTAACACGTAGGAATGGGTACAGATGTGTGTGTGCCTGTATCCTTGTACAAATATTGGCCCTGATGCAGGTTAATGGTTGGGCAAGCAGGGCTGGCCTTCCCATGAAGCGGGAAGCAGCATCCACAGGCAGTGGAGGAGGAGAAGTGCTAAGATTCCTCCCTCCTCCTGCTCTGCCCAAAAGGCCAACCTCCAAGCCCAGCGGATGCTCTGGAGAGCTTTCCCAGTGTGGTATTTGGGGCAGTGAAACAAGGGTCAGCAAGGCACTATAGAGCAGCCACCTGGATTCTGCTTGTCGTGTGTGGAGAATCCATTCCAGGGATGGGAATCCGCTGGCTCGGCTCCCTGGACTGTGGTCCTCTTGGTTGCAGCCCGAGTCCAAGTTCCTGCATGGCATTCATTCCAAGAATCAAGCTCCATGTGCCACGCAAGCAGCGCACCTCTTCCACACCCCTTGCAACAGCCTTTGGTTGTGCTGCTGCATGTGACGCAGAAGAAGGCTGCCTGTTGTGCAACTGGAGTTGCACAAGCATTCGCAGACTTCCTCTTGGCTCGGGCTGCTTTATAACCCCGAGCACGAAGCCTGTGAATCCAAGAGAGACGGATTCCACTGGGTGTCGCGAGATCTCCCCTGGGTCTTGTGGGAGCTCTCACGAGAGTCCTGCAGCCCCTTTTCCCCGCGGTGGGGTCCCTCGTGTGATACGGCAAAGAGGGAGAGCAGTGGCGGCAAAGGCGAAGGGAGTGCGACGCAGTGGCTGCACGCCGAGCAGTGAAAGAACTTGAACCAGGGCTGCAGGCAAGTTGTATGAACTGGGAGGGGCTGCAGGGCCTCACACAGACTACGCAGGCCCAGCAATGCCCATGCACACAGCCAGAAGGAAGCAGTGCATGAGGCGAGGGGGGCTTTGGAGTCCTGCGGGGCCTTCTTTACTCCTTCCTTCCCATGCGCCACATTCAGAGATCCCAGAGGTGCAGACCAAAAGTAGAGATCAGTGACGGAGATCCATAGATACAACCGGGAGATACCAAAGTGGTGATGCATTGATGAGGCATTTTGTGGCGCTGCCCACAGTAGCTTCTCACATTCCCAAGGAGCCCACAGGTCCAAACAGGTTGGAGACTCCTGGCCAGTCTGCCAGCCTTAATGATCTTGGTTGTGGGCTGATGGAGAACATAATTTTGACAGCCTGAGGGATAGTGCTAAGCACATCCGAAGGAACTTCACACAGCTAGGGAAAGGCGAATCAAGGATGTTCGAGAATGATGTTCACATGATTCTGTGATCACACCTTGAAGCTTGGATTACCTTCCATTTTTATTTGTGCTTTTGTATTCAGTTTGTTCAAAGTGGGAAAGTGTACAATTATTGCACATTTTTATATCGCATATACATATTGCATATTTATATCACATATAAAATATATTGCAAGTATATTTTACCCTAGAGGACTAATTCCTGAATTTTTAAAGTGAATTCCTAAATTTTAAAGGATTTATCAAAAATGCACATTTTTTTAAAAAAGCATTTGGAAATTCAGTAAAGTGTGATTTTTTTTTTTTTTAAATGTGCTAGTGCTACAGGTTGCAAGTGGGGTAAATTTGGATTACAAATTCGTATTTTAGAAGTCAAATGAAATTCTCAGACACGACTACATAAAGTTAGCAGCTCCAGAAGTATGGACTACACAATAGTGCACCAAAGATCATAGTCTGGGTTATTCACGCCTTGTCCTGAGAGAAGGCATCAATTGCAGAACCCATTCTAGAACCCATTCTTCCCATCCACATGCTCCAGCAAAAATGCTTTCCTTCTCCTTCATTTTGTTTGTGAAAGACTACTGTAGAAGCAAATATTCCTTCCAAAAGCTCCACTGTGCTTTCCACAAGGCATTAATTTTCCATTCACCTACAATGTCTCTGTTTTTAAAAAAGAAGATGGTTAAGGGTGTTAAAATGCCTTTGTGTTATACTTAAAGTAACCCTAGCACTCGGCAAGAGGTTTACGTAAGAAAAACTCTTTTATACTGTGAAATGGAAGGTGCTACCAACTCCCTCTTGAAAGGTGATCAACTGAGTGAATTCCACTATACGGATTAAATGCACGCAGCAATTTGTTACAGTAGGTTCTTTTATATAAACGTTATATTTCAGATTTCACCATGTGTGCGTTTTCAAAAGGATCCTGTTCCTATGGTAACCATGCAGCTTCCCCAATAAGGAAACTATAAAACCACTCAAAATGTTCCCTTGATCTAGAGCAGCCTTCCCTAACCTGGTGCCTTCTGGATGACTACAACTTCCAACATCCCCGGCTAGCATGGCTGTGGATGAAGGGAGCTATTGTCCAACTTTTCTGGAGGGCGACAGGTTGAGGAAGGGCAGTGCAGGGTTTGCATGGGCTCTATAGCAATGCCTTTAACTTTATGGGATGTCGGTTATAGTGTATGCAAGAGATCATTAAACATGCAAGGACACTTAAAGAGCTGCAGCTTTTGGTGGTGTACCAAACCAAAGCTCAAGACGTGCCCATTTCATTCTGTTCCCACAGCTGAGGAGGGCAAGATGATCACAGCATAGGCCTCCTACATCAATTCACATTCTTTTCAGTTGGTGCAACTTCCAGAAATAGCTGCAGATGCATTGTGCATTTTTGTAAGCATGCAGGATGACACTTGTAGCGAACCAAGGGGAAATAAAAGATGACGCCACTTAAAATGAATAGGATGACGTAGAGGAACTCCATCTGAGGCTGGTCAATGATGGGTGCTAGTATGAGGTACACACATGCCAACAGGAAAATTATAGGGATGATGATTGGTACCTGTGTAAAGAAAACACTGTTTAACTAGTAGGCATATATTTGGGAGTGGCTTTCCTGAGAGTTAGCAGTAGTAGGTATTCTTGCTGCCTCACCCACTGGACTGGTCAAGTAGCACAGCTCTGAGAAGCGCCATAGATTAAATAGGTGGGGCCTGCAAGGAATTGTTGCAGCGTGGAGTTGCAGCTGCCCAGGGCCTGAGCCAATCAGCCATGCCTCCTTTTGGGGTACTCCATTCCATGTGCCTCCCTGATTTTTCAATTCCTTTTCAGTCAGGCAGCTTTCAGTGGTCACTGAGCACGTTCAGTCCTCAGTGAGCTTTTTTGGTTGGGGTGATGTCCCTTTAGGATTTCCCTTCCCTTCCGAAGTATGTCTGCAAACGTTGGCAATGCAGCCTTCAATGGCACTCAAAGCTTCAACAGTGGAAATAAAGGCAATATTTATCAAGCAGTGTCAGAAAAATCTGAGTTTGACATTTAAAAGTAACCTTCTGCAGGCAGTTTCAACACCCTGGCTAACTTTCTTTCTCTTTCTCTTTCTCTCCATCTTCCAAACAACCATCATGAACAAGTGAAGCCACTTGGAAGGGACGAAGCATCCTAGCCAGCTGGCCCATCCATTCTTGCCAAGGGAAGTAGTAAAAGAAGAAGAAAAAGGAAATGTACAAAAGAAAAGTCTGCAACCACATTAGTCTCTCTAACATCATTTGTCTTGCCATCGTTATCACCATTGCTTTAGGTATGATCCTATGCAGGTTTAAAAGAAAAAGGCAGTGATATATATGGCCATGAATCAACACAAGCCTCCTGAGGGGCTTATGAAACAAAAAAACAAGATACGAAACACAGTACAGCTAAAAGCACACATTAAAGTAAAGAGAAATAAATAGAAGCAAACAGTGATCCCATACAAACAGTTCTTTCAAACTGAGGACCAGATGGAACAAAGAGCAGACATTTGGTAAGACTTTGGTGGCACCACAGGGATGAGCTGGAATCTAGCAGCTGCTCCCCTGACCTCCAAAGCAGGGACAGGTGGAGCTGAGCCTCAGGTGATGACACCTGTAAACTGAGACTCACACAAGTGGCACGGGAGGCTGCAGATGCAGCTGGATACAATCTCCATGTTGTACCTGTTTGTTTTTGTCTGTGGGGCAAATACTGATGAAAGGTATTTTAATTGGGAAATGGCACTCACCCTGGAGAAAGCAGTCCTTCAGGTACTGTGAGGCTTTATTGGCCAATGCCTTCTCTAAAACAGGCAGACGGGGGTAAAGTTAGGGTAAATTTCCCTAACTCGGTGCCATGATCCTGAGCAGAATTAACCTACACCCATCCAATGGCTAGTATTACCAATTTTAAAAACTGAATGTTCTGTTCCCAGACTTGCCACATCATATCTAGTTTGGGTCTTAATGAGGTATTCACCATGTGTCGATCTAACTGGTCAATCCTCAGCTGCACGTTATTTGACATGGTGGACAAGGCTTGGGCAGACAGATTCTCTAACTCTCCAAGTGGCCTCCCAAGCAATACAGGAAAGAAGAGATTAAAATAAATGCCTGTTAACTATCCTGTACCCAAAGCAGCATCCAAGTGAATTATTCTAAAACCAGCTCCACCTATAAAACAGTGATTGGCTAGCACTAATGTTGCATTATTCTAAGGCAGATTTATATGCGGTGTACTCTGCTATTAACCCATTTTTCTGTACAACTTAGAAAAAAAATGTTTATACTTCCTTTTTAAGGGGCTCACCTTATAAGATCTTGGCAATTCTGGTTTCTTAATCTTTAAATACAGGAGGCCAGTGATAGTTATCCCATAAAAAAGCCAAGCTGTAAAGCTGTATAGAAATAAAATAGAAGCATCTCATCTATGGTTGATCATGCAATTCCTGCTGCTACCAACAATTTGCAAGTACTAAAAGTTCAAACATCATGTTGTACAATTGTTTCTTTCCACATTTTAGCAACACTCACCTTTGCAAATATTGACAAGCCCAGCTGAACGTATCCTGGCACCACAAGCAAGGTGCTGCTGCCACTTTCCACCCCCTGCTTGCTTGGCCAACTTTAACACTTGACTGGCTGGCCGCTCTGTGACTTGTTTGGCCCAGCTGGTCGCTTGCTCCTGCCCACCCAGCCTTTCCTGCCTCATTTCCCTGCTGCAGGTTGGCCATCCCTTGCAATACTTCAGCTGACCTCTCATGGAAGCCCCACTGCTGGGACACAAGGCGGGAATGAGGAGGCAGCCAGACTGGCTGGCCAAGCAACTAGAGCGAGTGGCGGCAGTGGCAGCTGCTGTGCCCCCAGCAGGTGGTTTTAGAGGGCCCTGGCAGCTGCTGTCTTGCTGTGGCAAATGTCATGGTGGGAGAATGGCTACTGGTCCTATCCAGAGCACCTGCTCAAGGGAGCAAAAGGCCTTCTTGGCAGGTAGGGGCAGGTGGGAAAGAGTGGGAAAGAGCACTGATGTTGGCGCATCAGCCTAAATAATGGTAGGGCCCTGTGTACTGAGCAAACTGGTTTGCCTTTTTCTAACTAGCAGCCCGATCCTTTGCAGTTGTATATGGCTAAACCCAGGGCTTTTTTTGTCATTGAACGCACCGGAACGGTGTTCCAGCACATTTTTTTCCAATGGATTTTACGAAGTGATTTTGAATCGTAGCGGATCAGCAGCAAACATCTCATTAACATAGTGCCTGCAGGCTGCTTTTGTGTCTGCTATCTGCTAGTGAGATAGTGAGGGGCTGCTCTCAGCTTGGGGTGTTGCTCCGCTGCTCAGCTTGGGATTGGTGTGTGTGGTCGTGCGCTTACTGCCGGCAACTTGAGTTCCGGCACCTTTTTTTTTTTATTTTTTTTTTACAAAAAAAGCACTGGCTAAACCTGTTGGTTTCATGGACTTTGGGGGTACCTAACTGCATAGAGCTAAGCTGTCAAGCTCATATATTGCCCAGTAGTAAACAAGTGATTGTCACTTAGATTCTACTCATGGCACTAATTGTCTAAAGCACTTCTTTTTACTGTCTGAATCGTTGAACAATCCCACCAAACATACATAAATAACCCAGATCAGTTTTTAAAATACTTAATTCTGAGACATATAGTCATACTGAACATTTTTAAAAACATACTTCTTTTAATGTGATATTCTAGATATTTTTTTGAAAAGTTCAAAAAGATGAGATTCTTATAAATTTATTCATGTACCAAAGAACATGTTGACTTCTGCATCAAATAAGCAGTAAGCACTTTTTTCCTCTTGTATTGTGCTCAGTTACAAATTATGCTCTATGCATCCAAACTTTTCTTTGGTCTTTCAGCCCCATCCCTTTTCTCTGTAGGATGCATGGGTATTCTTAAGTAAAGACTTCTAAAATAAAATCTATCAGTGTTTGTTACTTTTAAAGCATGGGTCCTCAAACTACGGCCCATGGGCTAGATCCGGCCCACCATGCCCATTTATTCGGCCTGCCTCAAAGGTTTTGGACTCACTCAGAGAAAACAATCTCCAAGCAAGTCCAAAACCTCTAAGCCGGCATGGGTGTTCTTTAAAACTGAGCAGAGGGAGAGCCAGTGCATGCCCAAATTGCAACAGGATAACTGCGTACATGCCCTCCCCCCCCCCCCCCCCGCATTGCACACACACAGAGCGAGAATATGGAGCGGGAAACAGAAGATAGGCGGGTGGAAGAGAAAGAGAGGCGAAGACAGCGAAGTCGAAGAAACTAAAAAAGGACTGAAAGTAAGTAACATATAACTTTTTAAATCTATTTTTAATTATGCGACCCCGAGGGCGGCCAGCCACATGACCTTCTCCGCTGCCTGCCCAGCCCGCCGCCACCGCTTTTCAACTGGCCCTCTGTTGAAAAAGTTTGAGGACCCCTGCTTTTAAAGCAAGAGGAAGAGAAAACCCCTCTGTACATCGTTGCTGAATCCAAAGAGACAGCAGCAGAGCTAGCCCTGCTCCCATTGGAGCTGCATGGACCAGCTTGGACTCTCCTCCAGACCTTCCTTCTCAATGCTATGCTGGGGAGTTGCAGATGGAGCCTCTGCAGGGAGACACGTTGGAAGCAGGGCTAATGTGCACAAACCAGCTCAGCTCCTCGCACTTCAAGTTGTGGCAATAACACCTGAACAGGGCTAAAATCTGAACAAAACTATGCTGAGAAACCATTATTGTTGGGGACGACTGAGAATTTTAACCATACAAACCTGAAAAGATTCACTATCTGGCTGAAACTTCCGGGTATCACCATAATTATAGACACCACTGAAGTAAATATGAGAGCAGGAGAAGGAGTGAGGCGTTTTATGTGAGCCATGGATAAAATGTTTGGCTGAAAAGGAAGACGAAAAGCAAAAGATAATAAGAATCAAGGCTGAAAGAGTCATTTGCTCCTTCCTGTTACATCAGAACTGGTGAACAGTCAACAGGGCAGTTGTACTTTGAGAAGTAAATCAAAGTCAAAGATTATTTCTGGTACATTCATTTAGTTTTGGATTGCACTTTTTTTAATCAACATCCTACAAACTGGCAGCCAATCCAGATTCTTTCTAACCTATGATGAATCTTTGAACATTGCAACTGAATGTCACAGACATAAAGTCCCACTAGATGTAAGTGGCACTTTCAAGTGCATGGATTTAGGCAGCATTCTCGTCTCCTCTGTGTGGACGACACAAGGCACATATCGGGCTCTGCCATGCTTCCTTCCTGCCTTGTCTGAAATTTCAGCATTTTCGTTAAGAAACGGAAATTATCTTAGGGCACAAACTGGCTTTCTCATTTAAGCGCTTCTTGAGAGATTCCCTTGCTCCAGGGAGTTTGGCATTTAAACAGGTAGGCAAAGGGCAGAGATGGTGGGATGATACATAAATGTATCCATTCTTTATAAATTGGTCTGCGGTGCAATCCTATAGAATATGTTTGTTCACCATTGGGTTCAGCAGTAAGAACCACTGAGGTGAATGGAGCTTATGTCCAGGTAAGTGGGTAGCCTTCAAACAGAGGAGAAGAAATAAACTGGTTGATACTTTTGCTGATTAAATGAATAAGTCACTTTCACTGGGTGGCCACAGGGAAGGGAATACTAGACTATTGTCTACAGGTGAAAGCCTCATGGATAAATCATTCCAGTCATTCTTCAATGCTGCCCCTGTATTAGATTAAAGGTCTATAGGTTTGATCCAGAATAAGTTAGTTGTACTTAGTCCCAATTCAAATTAGTAGAGCTAACGTTATGATTAACTTGTTCGGTTGATTTCAATGGCATAAAGAGCCACCTTATAGATACCTGCTCATAAGTAAGCCCCACTGAATGTAATGGGAACACCTTCAGGTAGAAAAGGCTACAGCTCTTCTCAAGAGGAGGACAAATCAGATCAAATAGTTAGAAATTCCAACAGTAATTCTCCTAGGCTATAATTCTATTCTAGATAGGAAAAAAGTCCTTCAGTGCTTGCTGGGAGTTGAAAAGTTATACAACTGTTGCTAGGAATATCAGTCCTGAGCATTGTAAGACTTTTTACTGCCTACACATGCACAGGATCACATCCCTAGTTGTATATTTTATTATTTCTTCCCCTTAGTAATAGCATAGCTAGTAATTCTTGATCCAATACTTAGGTTGGTCAAAGATTCCATTTCGGATCTAGAAGTCCAGTCTGTTTGAAAGCTAAGCTAACGTTCCTAGTTTTAAGCCCATTTAGTCTAACTGACTTCCATCAGTTTAACTCACACAATCCAAGCTGAATTGCCAGATTGGTTCAACTGGGTAATGGAAAATGAGCATCTTAGAGGTTCTAGGTGTGGATTCTACCTGTGGCGCACATACCACAAATTTGTGGCAGGGGCAGGAGCCACAGAGTACCAACAGCATGGCACTGTTGCGTGCTTCATTCAGACTGCTGGTTGCCTGAACCTTGCCTCAGTAGGTTGAAGGCAACATAACATCAAGGAATGAAGGGATACAAATTGTGTGCTCTAGAGCATCACAATACTGTATTATTGTGCATACAGTTAGCAAAGAGGTTGGTTACCACAGTCACATCATTTAAGAAGCTTCTGAGAAGCTAAAAAGGAAAGAGCATCCAACACACACAATAAAAAGGAAGACCAATCAGAGTAAAATTTGAGACAAAATAATATCTTCCACTCCTCCCCAGTCTCAAATGAACCTTAGTGATTTTTTTTTAAAGTTGGCACAATATGGGTCACAGCCCCTGAGAATTGATAAAACTGACCTAGCTTGGTTTCAGGAAACCACAAAGGAGTCAGATATGTGTGTAATAATGGTAAGAGTTTGATTTGATTTCAGTATAATTACAGTGCTTGTAAATACAGTGGTACCTTGGTTCACGAACTTAATTCATTCCACGATTCTGGTCATGAACTGAATTGGTCGCGAACCGAATCAAATTGCCCCATAAGGTTCAATGTAAATAACGTTAATCCATTCTGAGCCATATGTAATTTTTTTTAACTGCAAAATTATGAAACAAAGTACAGTACAGTATGAAGACAGAGATCCCTAACCTTGCCTGAGGCGACTTCTGGTGTGGAGAACAGGAAGGTGGGCGGGGAGGAGGTTATTGTTTGGAGGGAGAGTCCCTTCCATAAGGATATCAGCGAGATCTCCTTCAGGGGTTTCCTCTCTTCCTTGTCTCTTAGCTGCAGGGTCAATTTTTACGAAAAATCATTCTAATGTCACTTGTTTTTTCCTGTGCTGCATAACCCTCCGGAAATGAGAGACCACATTATTGTTCATCAGATTCAACACTCTGTTCGTTACAGTTAAGTTGGGGTGGTACTTCTCAAAGAAATCCTGGCACTCATTCCATTTTTTCATAATGGACTGTATCACATCACTGCTAACCTCCTGTCTTCCTCTTCCTCGGTGGAATGCTCCTCGGGAAGTGCCTTCTGCTGCTCACTCTGGAGTCCAGCAAGTCCTTCTGTCGTCAGCTCCTCCTTACGGTCCTCAACAAGCTCCTCTGTGTCTGAACCATCGACGTCCAGGCCCACACTCTTGCCCAGGGACACAATCTCCTCCACTGCCTCTGCATCAGACCCTTCAGAGTCACACTCAGTGACACATTCTGGCCACAGTTTCCTCCAGGCTGAGTTTAAGGTCCGGTACGTGACACCTTCCCAGGCTTTGTCAATGAGGTTGATGCAGTGGAGGACATTGAAATGTTTCTTCCAGAACTCTTTCAGAGTCAAGGACGTCTCTTCAGTGACATTAAGACACCTGGTGAAGAGCGCTTTTGTGTAGAGCTTCTTGAAGCTGCAGATCACTTGCCGGTCTGTGGGCTGCAGAAGACCTGTCGTGTTGGCGGGGAGGAACTTGACTTTTATGAAGTCATACTCAGCATCCATATCATCCACCAAGGCTGGAGGGTGTGCCAGGGCGTTGTCCATCAGAAGAAGGCACCTTTCAGGCAGTTGGTCATCAGAAAGATATTTTTTAACGGTGGGTGCAAGCACCTTGTGCAGCCATTCCACGAACAATTGCCTTGTGACCCAAGCCCTCGCGTTGGCCCTCCACACAACAGGCAGCCTGGCCTTGTCCACCCTCTGTTCCTTGAATGCACGAGGGGTCTGGGACTGGTACGCCAGTAGTGGCTCGATCTTCAGACTGGCACTTGCATCCGCACACAGCAACAGGGCCAATCCGTCCTTCATGGGCTTGTGCCCCAGCAGTGCCTTTTCCTCCTGTGTGATGTGGGTTCTGTTGGGCATCTTCTTCCAGAGGAGCCCTGTTTCATCACAGCTGAACATCTGTGATGTCACTGTGATCGAGTGACGTATCCTTCTGCATTCATGAATCCCGTGAATTCTTTCTTGAAGGCTTCTGCAGCGGCCTTGTCAGAACTGGAAGCCTCACCATGTCTTATCACACGTGGATACCACTTCTCTTGCGGAAAGTATCAAACCACCCTCTACTGGCTTTAAATTCAACACTTGCTGCACTTGTAGAGGGGCTTTTTTGCAGTAAATCACTGTGCAATTTCCTGGCTTTTTCACAGATCATTGCTTCACCAACGCCATCACCTGCCAGCTGTTTCTCATTCAACCACACTAACAAAAGTTTTTCCACCTCTTCCAGCACTTGTGTCCTCTGCCCGGTTAACATGGTTACTCCTTTTGCCACATCAGCTCCTTTGATGGCATCTTTATTCTTCAAAATAGTCGAGATTGTCGACTTCGCTCCGAGGCCAGATCAGTCACACAAATACCACACTCATGCTTTTCTACAATTTCCTTCTTCAATTCAATGGTTATTTTCTTCAAAACTTCTCACCATTCTTGCTCTGCACTTTCTTGTTACCACCATGCTTGCTCTGCACTTTCTTTGGAGCCATGCTGGATTGAATAATACTGTACAGTACTGTATGTGCTAAAAAGTACACAAAAAACCTTCACAGCAAGTGTGCACAGGTCTGTCTGCGACCGCGATCTCAACTAGAGGAAGCCACAATCATGTATCAGAGCGGGAAAGATGGCCGCGGTCATGTTCGTCACCTGATGCAGAGTTCACAAATGGAAGCAAAATTTTGCTGAACTTTCTTTTTGTGAACCAAATTGTTCGCGAACAGAAGCGTTCGTGAACCAAGGTATTACTGTAACCATTTTATGCACATGTGCATACACACAAATGCAGCAGAATCATCACTGGGTTCACGTTCTTTACCATGTGGCCTTCTCTTGCTGCAGCGTAGCACATGCGGCCTCCACTGAAGAATGTCCCATTAGCTGATCCAAACGAAGAAAGCGCAACTGACAATGACATCACCCATACCCAGTTGCCCAGGACCTTATGGCTATGGAGGGGAATTGAGAAATAATTATGACAAAATGGCTAAGAAAGGAAAAAGGCCTAGTTCTCTTTAAGCCACATGCAGCTATGGCTAGAAAGGCAAACCAATTCCTGCAGCTAAGATTTTGCACCCTGAAATTCAGGTTATGTTGTGTTGAAGAGTTTTCAGATCTACCTGGACCATTTCACTGGAAGCAGTCTTGCAGTCCTAAACCAGAACAAAAATAAATTGATTTACATGCATTGTGACACAGTGCATTATTCTTCACCTCCTCTTAACCCATCCTCCTTCAGGTGCTTTCCAGATATGTTGGACTGCTGCCTTGGAATTATGGGAGTTGCAGTTCACCACATCTGGAGAGCAGTAGATTAGAGAAGGCGGCCTTAATCTAATTTAGGGATAGCAGGGCTGTGATAGGGGGCTAAGGGGCAGGTCAGCTGGAAAAGCATTGCACCTTACCTATCATCCTTTTTCCAGAAAAGTTCACTTTCCTGAATGATATCTAAGTCCATGTCCCACTTTCTATATAAATATCTCTGGGTGATAGTAGAAAATCTTCAAATTATATTTCACATTCATTTCATATTTTCATCCAGCCTTCCCTTCTTAGTTTCACATGTATCATATCCAATGTGTTTCACAATAAGAATCATAATAAAACTAATTTGTGATAAAAGAATAAAACATTTCCTTAAGATAACCAAGGGTTAGTTGGCAATGCTAGAAACCAATAAACTGTTATATATTTTTGTTCCAAAAGGAATTCCTAAGCAGATTGCAGAAAGAAACCAAAGCAAGGATAGAAATATCAAAAGCAACAGAACAAACTGTGTGAGAAATTATCTTGAAATCAAAATGCTACAATAATGCCAGATGCTATAGGCACCATTGCCTATAAATTGCTCTAAATATAATCACGTTCAAGGATCTTATCTACAAGATTGGCTTCCTCTTTGGGGTACTGCTTTAAATATACTCTGACAAGCAATTCTAATTGTATTTGGTTGGGAGTCGGTCGCTAGGGTAGCCATGTGTCCTACTTCACAGAGGGCTGTCCTCTAATTGAAGATGTCATTTATTTGAAGGGTTGCCCAATCCATTTTAAAGATAAAGAGCTGGGGAGGGCAAGCAGAGGCCTGGACGCTCCCTGTCAGCAATAAGTGTCTGGACATCCAGCTGAACAGGTATACAAGTCACAGTGCATTTGCCACTATGGTAAATGTATTTCTATTTCAGCTGTTGCAATTATTTTAAAATGCACACCCATACATATGGCTTAGCAAGTATAGATTTTATGCAAATCAGTGTCCCGTTCTGTTCCCGTTTCCTGGCAATGGGTTATTCCACCCCCCCCCAACCCCCCGAAGTACCATTGCTGTAAACGCTCCTGAAGCTGGAGTTCAGAATATACCTCCTGGTATTCGAAAGCACTTACAGATAATGGATTTTGGATTCATATTTTTAGGATCCTGGCCTAAGGAAATACTGTGTGCCTGTGTTACATGGCCTGGATAACCACTCCAGCAGGACACATACACAGAATGGTGCTACCTGTAGAAACAGCCGTGCACTTTGGTGACGTGGCATCAAGGGCAGGCCGGGTTCCTACTGAAGGCCCTCACCCCTGTGGGAGTCCATGGACAACGGGCCCCTGGAAGGCCTCCTCCTCACCACCACTGCAGCCTGACTGCTCACCTGCCACTTGCTTTGGCCCCGACAAAGGTGGTGGTGGTTGTACCGGTGATGAGAGCAGCCTGTGCCGCTGCTGGGGGTGTACAGATCGTTGCATCTTTTCCACCTGTGTCTCATGGATCGCTGGGCGTCTTTTGCTGCAGTATTTGCTCACTGAGGGAATCAGAAGTTTTGTAGGAGAATTTGGATTTGTTTTTCATTTCCCTTCCACTGATTCACATTAATGTGGGCATGCACTTCTGCACTTGTTTCAGTTTACTGTTCCACATTAGTCAGTGCGCATTGTCACTGGTCCACATTAACAAATGCTGATGCATGCATTTTTTAAATGCACAACTGTCCATTTGCATTAGTGACGTGCAAATTTTGTTTTTGTAAACCATCCAGAGACTCTAGTATTGGACAGCATATAAAAACTTTAAATAGATAGATAGATAGATAATCTGTTCCATCTGTATTTTGTGAATTGCCAGGCATCTTTCTTCCCAGCATAGATGGAATCATATGCTTTGTAGGAGAATTTGGATCTACCTGGACTAATTCACATGTGCATTTGCAAAAAATGTGCATTTGCAAAAAATGTGCATTAACTGATGCATGTCAGTACTGATACAAATTTGTACACAACTCATTAAGAGTAAAAAAAATCTACATTCTTATTCTTTGGTCTATAGGGAAAATGTACATTTTTGGTTACTTTTTTTTCTTTTTCCTAGTTTTATATAATTAGATTTGCTTACAGTTCTGGGAAGTAAAAAACCTGTCCATAAGTGCACAGAAATTATGCAGCTAGAAAAAAGCTGCTCTGCTGTGGAGTCTATGGGCTGGATTTACAGAAACCTGAACTCATTTGAATCCTTTACTAACATTCCTAATTAAGGGGAATAAACACTTGCATGATTGCCCTAATCCACATTAGCGCTAGTGCAAATTAATGCAGTCTCCCCCAAACGTAGAAGAGGCATTCTGCACGTTCAAAGAATCCGCATGACTCAGAAGAGGCTGGCCCAGTACAGAATCTGCCTATCGGATTCACAGAAACCCAAACTCACGTGGATCGCGGCACATGTTTCCAGCAGCCCTAGCCACTGCCTACTTACTTGGTGGCTCACCGCCCTGCCAAGCTAGCTAGAGGGAGCAATGGGACAGAGGGTGAGGAGCCAGAGCGGCTGGAGACAGCGGTGGAGAGAAGGCAGACTCACTGGTGGTGGCGGGAGCGCCACGTGCCAAAGGACCCTCCAGAACCAGGGGCCAGCACTGGCTCTTTATACACGTGCTAGCTAATATGCCTTATAGCCATGCAGGCACTCCATTGCCCGACCACCTCTACCACCCTCGTGACCACTGGTCCGGAGTGCATCTCCTGCGGTATCTGAGGTGATCCTCAAGCGCCTCCTCTAAGGGAGGCTCAGAGATCGGCAGCAGGAGAAGACCTTCTCAGGGGCAGCCACCTAGTTATGGAAGCCTCTCCCCAGGAAGACTTGCCTTGCACCAACTCTGCCGTCCTTTGGGGCCAGGTTAAGACCATCATCTGCGCACAGGAATTTGACACCTTATGATTGCTTTGCTTTTGGTGTTTCTGTTTTTTGTAAGCCGTCCAGAGACTTTTACTATTGGGACAGCATATACAAATTTTCAATAAATAAATAAGTCTTTACCAGGTTTTACCTGAGTTTTTTCCTGTGGGTTGTTTAACATGGTTTGTGTTTGTAGTGACACATACAATATTTTACATTATGCTATGCTATTCTATTAAATTTTGGGGGTTTGATCTTTGTAAAAGAGCTTTTGTCTGTTGGACAGAACAAAATAAACAGATATTAATTATCTGTAGAATAAATGAAAAGGAAATGAAATGAACTACCTAGTATATTTATATACCTAGTATATCTAGTATAAATGCCTAGAAATTTTCTAAATAAAATAAATAAATATAAGAGAGATATTTTGCCTAGCAATATTGTGTGTCCTTTGTCCAGGCTGTGACCCACCAGAAAATGGTCTGTTGTCAACCAACTTCTTTCATGACCAATATAAGTTCTGAGTTTAATAAGGAAAAAGAGAACTACAACAACCAACCGCCGCCACCACCAGCCCCAGAACAAAACAAGAGAGAAAAGGTCAGCAGTGCCTCATCTCAAGATAAGTAAGCACCGTGTAACAGCTGCTATGTTCTCCTTCCCGCTGTCTCTGTGACCTCCTACTTCTCCATCTGCTCCATGAGATAAGCCATTGTCTGGGACACAACATTTGGTGGTTCTCCTCCCATCCTTCACTCTGGCTGGGTTCCCAAGAATGAAAAGGTTAATCAGGCAGGAGGGAGCTGGGCTTTAAAGTGAGTGTGCAGGGGGCCAGGGTTTCAAAGAAACAGTCACAAAGGAAATCCTTAGCACATACCTTGTTAATCAGGAATGAGAGGTGAGGGAAAGATTATCTTCAATGGATTTTTCACTTGTATATAGTTAATTAGGTTTTTCACTTGTCTCGGTGAAATACTGGTGGTCTTTCTCTCTCCAGCTGTTAATCTGGGGAATGTGTATATATAGCCTTCACCAAGTTGGTGGGCCTCCATATGTTTTGGACTACATCTCTCATTAGCCCCAGCCAACCTGGCCCATGGCCAAGGATGATGGAAGAGGTAGTTGACAATAATCATAAACACTATGCGGGACGTTGTGCTAATGGAACACCAGCCGCAAAGGCTCAAGTGTGTCTGACTGTACATCTGCAGATCCGCATCATGCAAGCACTTAATTTTATACTGCTTCCAGAAGTCAGATATTTTAATTCTTAATCCCACTTTGCAGAACAGGAATCATTCAGGAATGCACAGCCTAAGTAGATCCCTCTATGGTTGGAGACTTTTTTTTATTTAGATAGGTAGATCAGAAGGGAGATAGGTAGGTAGCATTTTCATAAATGGGAATGTCAAGTTTCTTTGTCCTAACCATCTGAGGTACAACTTGAAAACTGAACGACACCCTGTAAAGCCAAGCCCATTTAACGTTGCATCTCTTCTGCCATCATTCCATCTTAAGACTCTGACCATGCAGACTTCATGACATCAAGTCAAACTATCAGATCGATTTTTTCTCCTCTCATTTCATCATCACCCCTAAGTAGTATTTTGCCTGGTATAGAAAATAAGGAAAACTTGCAAAAGTGTTGTCCGTTTTTTTTTGGTTGATCCTAAGAATATGAGTGGCTGACTACGGATTTTTTATTTTTTCTAATCCACCAAACTGCTGATTTTATTTTATGTAACCGTTTCCAGAGAGCTAACCATGTTACTCAGATATGCAGATAGTACCACTCTAATGGCAGAAAGTGAAGAGGAACTAAAGAGCCTCTTGATGCAGGTGAAGGAGGAGAGTGAAAAAGTTGGCTTGAAACTCAACATTAAGAAAACTAAGATCATGGCATCCAGTCCTCTCATTTCCTGGCAAATAGATGGGGAAGAAATGGAGGTAGTGACAGATTTTATTTTCCTGGGCTCCAAGATCACCGCAGATGGGGACTGCAGGCAAGAAATTAAAGGACGCTTGTTCCTGGGGAGGAAAGCTATGGCAAATCTAGATAGCATACTAAAAAGCAGAGACATCACGCTGCCAACAAAAGTTTGCATAGTTAAAGCTATGGTTTTACCAGTTGCAATGTATGGCTGTGAAAGTTGGACCATAAGGAAGGCTGAGCACTGAAGAGTTGAGGCCTTTGAATTGTGGTGCTGGAGGAGACTCCTGAGAGTCCCTTGGACCACAAGGCGATCAAACCAGTCAGTCTTAGAGGAGATCAACCCTGACTGCTCTTTAGAAGGCTAGATACTGAAGATGAAACTCAAATACTTTGGCCACCTAATGAGACGGAAAGACTCACTGGAGAAGACCCTGATGCTGGGAACAATTGAGGGCAAAAGAAGGAGGGGACGGCAGAGGATGAGGTGGCGGGATGGAGTCACTGAAGCAGTCAGCATAAGTGGACTCCAGGGGATGGTGGAGGACAGGAAGGCCTGGAGGAATGTTGTCCATGGGGTTGCGATGGATCAGACACGACTTCGCGACTAACAACAATAACAATCATGATAGCCTTTTGCAGCAAAGCCCATAAATAGTCTTGTTGCAACCTAAAGGCTAACATGGGAGCCCATGTGGCATGGTGGTTAGAGTGTTGGAAACGGTTACATAAAATAAAATCAGCAGTTTGGTGCATTAGAAAAAATAAAAAAATCCATGGTCAGCCACTCATATTCTTAGGACCAACCCAAAAAAAAATGGACAAAACTTTTGCAAGTTTCCCGTATTTTCTATTCCAGGCAAAATACTACTTAGGGGTGATGATGAGAAGAGAGGAGAAAAAATCAATCTGACAGTTTGACTTGAAAGTCTGCATGGTCAGAGTCTTAAGATGGAACGATGGCAGAAGAGATGCAACGTTAAATGGGCTTGGCTTTAAAGGGTGTCGTTCAGTTTTCAAGTTGTACCTCAGATGGTTAGGACAAAGAAACTTGACGTTGTGAGGGTAAAGTGGACAGCAGGAGAATCTTGTAATCTGCCTTGAGTTTCTTGCAAGAGGAAGAACGATTAGGTGTAGATGTAATATTATACAAATAATAGTAATAATTTATCCTGGCAAAGTTTTCTTGGACATTGTCCTGAGGAAATCCTGCACCTGAGCAACTGGACAGTGTTTTCACAAAAGCTTACACCTGGATAAAACTGGTAGCCTTTTAGATGTTTGTAGGTTTTCTTTTATGTGCAACTCAGACCCATGTTTGCTTACAACATTTTCAACTCTTTCACTGCTCACTTCATCCATTCAATGAAAAAGAGATCATCCCTATGGAAGCTTGTGCCACAATAGGCTGCAACCCAATAACCAGTTACGAGGGAGGAAGCCCCATGAAACTCAGTGGGAATCGCTTCTGAATAAACACGTACAAGTAGAGTTATGTTGTAAATCAGCCTTCTGGGAGACAAAGTGTTGTTTTTGCAGACTACAGACTAGCATAGCTACTCTTCTGGAATTTAATAAGAATGAATGTCACCACGGCAACACAAGAACCTTTTAAAAATTGTTCTTACAAGTCTCCCTGTCCAGGATTATAGAGCCCCTGGAGTATATTTTACCTGAGTGTTCTTTTGTCTAGGGAGAAACCCAGACATACAGTTGAAATGGATGTATAAGAGCTTTGGCCACTTGGTGGTTAAAACTCATTTTCCTTGAAAACATTAGGGATAGGGTTAATAAATTAACCAAAATTTATTCTAGTTATTGGCCTCTGTTTCTCTCAAATCAGTGCAGCCATTGTTTTGTCTTACTTCAGTGTTGTTTTCACAGGACATGCGAAGCCACTGAGGAGGATCACTGAGTGTATCATGTTGACCCTCCCTTGCGCCTCTTGGAGTTATTTGTTAAGTCACCCTGGGCAGCTTATATACCACTCCAATTAGCCATGGCTTGTTTAGGGTTTAAAAGAACTCCTGCAGCTTAGCATGTCATCCAAACAAGCTGGCACACTAAGCTGTGGTTAAGCACAACACTGGGGAAGCCCTTGACCAGGGCGGTAAAATAGGGTCTGACATCCATCCAAATGCCCTAGAGGCACCTGGACAGTCGTCACTGGCTTCCCTTGCACTCCTGCTAATGCCAGAGGAAGACTGGGATTGTGAAGCTGGTGGGGTCCACAGCACGCTGCCTCCCCAAACACCCTTCAGGGCCAAGGGATGCACTGACAGAGTAAGCTGCTCAGCCGCACTTCCTCTCATGGAGGCAAGGCCCAGTACCTGCATCCTACCCACCATCTCCATCACTGCACCCTCCGTGCTGGGCAGAAATGAGCGCGTCTTTTGCCTTCCTTCAGAACCCAGCGTGGGGTGGCCTGCACCTCTTCCCCACTGCTCAGCTGCAGCACAGCATAGCTCTGCAGCAGGGAAGGAACGGCCACTTCATGCTGGGCTTCAGAGCCCAGTGCCGGGCAGCCCTTCCACCTCACTCTAGGTTCCCTGCCCCATGAACCTGCAGATGCCAGGAATGTGGGGCTGCTCGTGATCAGCCCTGCTCAGCCAGCACTGGCAGGATCACGACATGGGGGAGTGGATGCAAAGAGCGTACACTTTAGGCAGCTTTCATCCCGCTTCCATGGGTGCTCCAGCATGATGTCCCCAGGGTACCCGCTTTCGGACAAAGAAGGAGGTGCCAATGGGCCCCACTGTGCTTAACCGTTGGGCCTCCCTGCCAAGTTTACATCTAGGCTTAAAGTCTGCTCCAACCCCATCCAAACTGTTCTCACAGCCCAGGCGCCCCCCTTCTGTCTCCTGCCTCCCCTTCCACTGGTGCAGTGGTGGCTCACAAAAGGGATCCAGTGTAGGTCCTGCTCCAGACAGCGCACAAATCTAGAGTTCTTCCCTGCAACACAAGCTCTTATGGTATATATTTTGAGAATACTTTGTCAGCATTATTTCCCACAAAGACTGGGCGGCACGTTCTCCCTGCCCCTCAGTTACCTCCAGACACTTAATGAAGCGAGCATTTTCAAGCACTTCACCCAAACCATTTCTGAATGCCTTTCTCAGTTCTAAACTAGATAGCCTATACTTGCAACACTTGGGCAAGTGAATGTGCTTCTTATGGGATTTTTATGTGGATGAGATCAGTGAGAGGATTTTGAGAGCCATCTGATACTGCATGGCTCAAAGGCATCAGTAGCATTGCTAGGCAAACATTATACTAGCATGAACGGGATGTCTTACAGGCATTTTAAGCACTATTGAGCATTGCTCTGTGAGAACTGTAGAATGGGTACGATGTGGTTGGTTCTGGTAAATATAAGTGTAGCTCAGAAGTGTACCTTACCCCCAGGTAATGGCCACCGCACCGGAAGACAGCAGTTCAGCAGGTGTCATGGCTGCAAAGTAGCTCACATTGACCAGCAAATAGAAGCAGGTAACCAGAGGAATAGCAATCATCATTGCCTTTGGCAGGTTCACCTGGATAGAGAATAAAGTTAGGTACACAACAGCATGTGCCATAGATACGTGTAAGGGTGGATGAGCAATCCAACAGGCAGATGAATATCCAATGCATTTTCATGATCCAGCTCACTGGATTCCAGTTTCATAGCCCCACACTGGTGCCCAGTGTGCTGTTGTGCAATTTGAGCCAGCTCGTGGGCTTCTTTCTCTACGAGGAGCCATGGTTTGCACATTGAAGGGGGGAAAACCTCAGAGAATGAGGACAATTTGCATAAATTTTTGCAAATCAAAAGGTGAATTCTATATAGTTCTAGTGCACTTGTGCACATTTCCTTAGCAATAAGCCCCTCTCCCCCCACCAGCCATGGCCTGTTTTAGGGGCAGAAGTTTGTGGGGGAAAGCTTGACTTGACCTGGTCATTGGATCAGAAGCGCCGAGCAAATCTATTGAGTTCAAACAAGCTGGACTTTGCAGAGTCATTGCAAAGATGCTATACGTGGGCATCTGTAGACCATTTTCCATATAAAATGCTGTATTTGGTCTCTTTCTTGAAAATAAATGAAGACTCAAAACAGATCTACCGCCCAACGTCACAAAAGAGAAAAAGGGAATGAGAGAAGTTTGCAAAAAGTGGAAGGGAACCCTTTAACAGTATGTTTAATAGAAGAGCCTGATGTGCAACAAGGACATATGGGCAAAGAGGGCAAAGAGTCCGCTGTTCATTTGCACTAGTTGGAAGACAAATGTTTACTATCAAACATATGTAGTGTGAAATCATATTGCATCTGCATACACTGGCTGCAAGCCAGGCACATGGATTGATTTTTGTTGTTTTTTATGTGCAGGGTTTATACGCCATGCTATCTCCAATAAGATTCCCAGACAGAGAATAGTGAGAAACAAGATGCAAAATGCAAAATAAACATCTTCAAAATCAAATTTTGCCAATAAAACCATGGTGAAATTTTGTGTAAATAATCGTGCTTTTAAAAGGCCCTGGAAATGAAGCCACATTGGTGTCTGCCTGACATCAAGAGGCAGGGAGTTCCATACAGAGGAGGCCAATATGCTGAAGCTTTATTCTGAGCTGTCTCCAAATGGACCCCAGGGCCATGCTAAACTACTAGCGAGTGCCTCACCTGATGACTGCAAACCAGAAAGGTAGAAGGTGCTTTCTCAAATATCCTGATCTCAAGTTGATGAGAGCTTTAACCTGAAACTGTTTAGGAGTAATGCTCACCAAAAACAGTAGGATTTGATGAAATGTGTTTAATGCCAGGACCTACTGTGTCTCCTCCTCTACCATCCATTGTAAGATGCTGGTAAAAAGATGCAAAATTTGTACTTGTAACATTAAGCCAGCTCCCACACCTGTTCCTCTTCTTTTGCTTAAGATCTAGCCTGCTGAAAAGTTTTGGAGAAGTGTTTTGGAATAATATGACAAATACACATTTCATTATATAGATCTTAACTAGTCCACATTCTTGTTCTCTACTTTAATGATGACGTTCGTTTCTTGCAACTGATTTTATTTGCACATCTTTAGGAAACAACCCCTCACACTAAAACAGTACATACTGCTAATCTCCAGATATTAGACTTTGCCTGCTATTTAATTACAAGAAGCAAGAAGTATCAAAGTTCAGTTTCTGTCTACCAGGAGTATAGGCTGAAGTTTAAAATCTGAACCTCAAATCCAGGCTTGTTGGCCCTTCTTATTTTATAATTTGTGAATCCAAAATTTAGGTATTATAAATTGTGTATCATCATGATACAATTTGTGAATATGAAATTTATGGTTTGATTTTTGTTTCTCGTGCAACTGAGTGCTGCCATCTTATGTCACAAACGCAGCATTTCAGGAACTCCACTGTTGCTGGCCACATTTCTCACTAGGAAGCCTCCCCCAAATACACAACATGACCTGAGTATAGTTGTCACATTTGCCTCTCTTACATGAAAGCCTTACTTGATCAGAAGAACAGGAGTTATAGTGAAATTGCTACAGGCACAGGGAGTTAAATCAAGAAAAGATAAATGATATGAACATATTTCTGATAAAGCAAGATGCTCACAAGTTGTTTCCTAGAGATAACTTAATCAGTACATACTGAACCAAAGCATATCATCAAGACCCAATTAATTGGTGAATATATCTAGACATTGTCCCTGTCTCTGCTCTCTCTCTCACACACACACACATGTACATCCAGGGCTGAAGGAAACGATTTGTAGTCTTCGTAAAATCCTGTCTGAGCGAACAATTAAGTAACAATGACCAGAACGTGCCCAGCACAGGAATATGTGTACATGGGGGCGGGAGCGGGACAGCTTGTACTTCTCCAGATGTTTTGGCCTACAGTTCCATGTTCGCTAGGGCTGAGTTATAGTAAATACATCTGGAGAGCTGCAAGTTTCCTGCCCCAGGTGTAAAGATCTAACACTGGGCTCATAAAGATAGTAACTTTTCACAGGTTGTATAATGTTCCTGCTTGTAATTGTCAAGAATTCTTAGGTAGGAAATAAGTGCAGCTTTTGGGGGAAGGCGCAAACAGGGTTGCCGTATTCCAGCTCCCCAAAGCTGGGGCACTTTGTATATTATTCAACCTTGTTTGCTTTTTCTTTTTCCTCTTTGAAATGTTAAAAAATGCAACACATCTACACAGCAATGAATGAATTGCAAGGCTCCTGCATGGTACTGACCAACGAATGGAGGCTGGTATGGGGAGAAAAGAAGGGTAATTTAACTAGACTGACCTTTGCTGCAACCAATGGGCTATATTAGCAATCAGTGGGGTGTGGTGGTTGGATTGCCGGACCAGAGACGTGGGAGATCCAGATTCCAATCTCTACTAGGCCATGAAGCTTGCTTTGGGTCAGTCACTTACCCTCATTCTAACCTACCTCACAGGGTTGTTGGGAAGATAAGATGGAGGTATGTCAGCTGCCTTGGGTTCCTCACAAGAGGAAAAAAGGTGGTGATAAATGCACTGTGAGATGGTGCTGCAAGTCTCCCCCAGCCCTCCTCCTCTCGCAGCTGGAGCACTCAGTCTACAACCCAGGAAGAGTAGATTGCCATGGCACTGAGAATTTTTAAACACTGGCCACATTGTCTTAAAAAATAAATTTCCCACACAAACTAAGATGTGAAAGATAAGAGCTGCTATTTTTGCTGCTATCTTTGGTGGCTTGATTAGGAAAAGCAGAGCCTGCATACTTTGCCTCATTCCACTGGTAGGGGTGTGTAGAAAATAGATTACTAGAGTTTCTGAACTTCATTTTGTGTGATTCCTGACTATTGCCCATGCTGGCAGGGCCTTCTGGGAGTTGAAGTCCAAAATGCCTTATGAGCCACCTGCTGCCCACCTGGGTATAAAGGCTAGCGTAACAGTGAAAGCTGAGAATCTGGGCTTGCTAATGGGACCAGGTAGCATGTCCAGCATCCAGGCAAACTTTCGCATATGGCTAGCCTTGGTGTGAAATTTGCAGGCCACACATACGCCCATGATAAATATATGCAGTCCAGTATGTAATCAGTAAATATATATATTTTTTAAAGGTAAAGAGATTCTCCACTTACTTCAGGCTTCTTAATCTCCTCAGTCACATAATTCAGATTGTTCCATCCATCAAAAGACCAGAGTCCTTGATAAAATGCAATCCCAATAGCCCCGGCACCAGCTTTTGTGTTGAGAAAGGCATTCTGGAAGCTTTGTGTGTGCCCCTGGGCAAGCACCACTGACCCTCCCACGACTATGACCAGTAATGCCAAGAGCTTGGCAGCTGTAAACACATTCATGGCCGAGGTGGCCAGCCTCACACTGAGGCAATTGACTAAGGCTAAAACCACAATGCAGGCCACAGCGGTGCATTTGACCACCAGCTCAGGCGAAGAGCAGCCGGGGTAGAAGGGAGCCACGGCGTATTCTGCAAAGCTCAGTGAGATAGCGGCCACGCCAGCAGGTCTGACCACAAGCACTGAGGTGAATGAGAAAAGGAAAGCTGGGAGAGAGCCAAAATTCCTCAGGATATAGATATATTCCCCTCCGGACTCTTTAATTAATGTTCCCAGTTCAGCATATGACAGGGCCCCAAAGGTGGCAAGTGTACCACAGGCAGCCCAGATAAGGAGACTTCCTCCAGGGCTACCTATATTCCGCAGTACCCACTCCGGGGACATAAAAATACCCGAGCCAATCATCGTTCCAGCAATTAAAGACACAGCACTGGTCAATCCAATTTCTCGCTTCAGTTTCAAGGTCTCCAGAATCCCATGTTGCTCAGCATCTGGGCTTGGTAGGTTTCTTCTTCCCTTTTCCATGATGGAAAAAGCAGGATTAGTTTCTCCTGAGAAGTTAGAAGTGACAACAATTCCAGGAATAAAGAGACAACAGACACTTTTTAAAGTTGCTGTCTTTGGCTGTTGTACTTGAATTTTTCAAAGCCTTCAGCTGTAAACGTTTCTACTTGGTAGAGACACTCTGGTGTGGGAAAGGCAGCATTGCTTCATTTTGGCCCAGAACCTGCTAAAAATCTTCCTCTTGATTTCTTAGACACAAGCAAAGAGGTTCTTGTTCTCTTTAGTCTTCAGCTGGCTGGTTGCTCTGTGCTTCAGGTGAAAGAAAGAAATAAGTTGTCCACAGCTGTACTTTATTCTTTGTGACTGATGGATTGATAAAAGCAGTTTGAACATAGTTCATAATAAACTTTGGTCATGATAGTGTTGTCTAGGTAACAGGTGGTGGATCAAAGATAATTGATCAAAGCTCCTAAAAATCCCATGAAATATGTGCGGCATCATATTTGGCAAATTGCCAAAGATAATTCCCCTTGACAACACTATTTATGTCTCTCCACACCCCATCATGTGTATAGAAATATGCCATTTTGAGATCAGCACTTCAGGCATGTGATGCAGTGGAAGAATCTATGAAAGTTTATGCCATAATAAATGGATTAGCGCTTTCTACACACAGCCATTAATCTGCTGCATCTACTTTTAGTTTCATTGCAGAAATAAGATCTATTCGCCTTTCCTGTCCTCCTTTTCTGATACCTCTAACTCTAGGTGACACTGTGGGATAGCTGAATGACACAAATATGCAACAAGAAGTTGTGCTTTCTTTCACAACTGAAGGCCAAATTTCCTTGTTCTGGAAAAAAAAAAGAACTCATTGAAAGTGCTTATTAACTACAAAAGCAAAACAAGAGCATCTAAAATCTATAAACAACTATGAGTAGGAAATGATGAGCACACAGTAAATGCTTCATGTGGGAAAGACCTTAGTCTGTTAAGTGCCAAAATACTCTTTTTTGTTATTATCATAATAAACTAACTCAACTACCCTTCTGAGAAAAGGCATTACTGTCATATGTTGTGAAGTGGATTAGCTCTCAGGGCCAGAGCAGATGCCTTTTATCTCAAAGATCCCAAGTTCAATCCTTGAAATTTCCAGTTAAAATAATCAGTTAAGAATGTAAGATGAGCCACGATGGATCAGATCAAAGGTCTGTCTGGTCCAGCATGCTGTTCTCGCAGTGGTCAACCAGATGCCCATAGAAAAGTCCACAAGCAGGAGATGTGCACAACAATACCTTCCTGCTCATGTTTCCAAGAAACTGTTGCACATAGACTGCTTCTGATAGTGAAGGCAGCACATAGCCATCAGGCAGGGATGCAAAGATCGGGCCAGAATCCTGCTCTTTCGCACTTGCTGAACTTCTTTCATTCAGTTGGCGAGGAAGCAATGATCAATTCAGCATACACTGCAAAATGCTAGTGCCTGCTTTGCTCAAAGTACGCAGGTCTTTGCTCAAAGTGTGCAATTCCTTGTGCAAGGTGTACAACGTACACAAAGCCCACAAGTCACATGTTCAGAAGCAGAACTCTTCTTGCACAAAGGATGTGTGGCCGCATATGCACAAGCCAGCTTCACGGACTCGCATGGACTTGCTTCCTGCCGGTCACCCATGCCGACCTAGGGCAGAGAGAAAGAGAGGCAGAGTCCAGGGAGACAAGCCAAGCACATATGACAGATTACCCTCTCCAGACCAGAAACCTCACATATTACTACTGCCAGGACTAGTAGCTACTGACAACCTCCACCAGTTGCTCTAATCCCTCTTTAAAGCCACTCAATTTAATGGCTATCACTACATCTTCCTTTTGTCTCTCCTGAACCTCCCGTTTCATTGGATGACCCAGATTCAAGCATCACAGCAGAGTGAGAAACACATCTCTACAGCATATATAATTCTATGCACGTTTATTATGTACCCTCTTACATGCACCTAATTATGCACCTTATCCAGTTCTACAACATTTTTATTGAGCTATGGTGACCAAAAGTGCATACAGTGTCCCAAAATGGTTTGCATAGAGGTATTATGACATTGACCGTTTTATTTTCAGTTTTTTCCTGTTGATCTCCAACACAGATTCAGTTTTTGTCAACACAGTTGCACACAGTTGACATTTTCATCAAGTTATCTGAGACTGAAGTTCCCCTTTCTGGTCAGCAACTACCCACTCAAACTTTGTCAGCACGTCCTGGGCACCTCATAGCACGTTTTATCGACTTAGGCTTGTATGTCAGCTGTGACACTACCTGGACAGAACTCGCTTTGAGGCAGCTATTCGTGCTCTGTTCACCTATGTTTGGATTATTGCAATGCAGTATATGTTGGGCTACCTTTGAAAATGGTCCAGAAGCAAAGCTGCTGGACTGCTAGCTGGGACAGGCTGGTGTGATCATGCTCCACCCATACATTGTCATCTCCATTGACTTCTAGTCTGCTTCCTGGTCCAATTCAAAGGGCTCTTTTTAACCTTCTGAACTCCAAAAGGCCTGCCTCTAGGTTACCTGAAACCTTGAACACCAAAGCCATCTTCTGAGATCCTTTCCAGATGTCCAGGCCACACGAGGTGATGCTACCCTGTCTGTGAAATGCCCCCCTCAGAGAGACTTGTAGGTGTAACCCTGACGACTAGGCAATATGCGTTACAAGTTCATTCAGATATTTTACTCTTTGTGGTTCTAATCGCATAAAGTTGTTCCAAGTAAAAAATTAGAAGGATCACATGGTCAGATATGTATTTTTCAGTAATCTATAAAACAAAAATAATTTGCAACAAGTACTAAACAGTAGTACAATTCCAATTTCATAAGCACCCAGGAGAGAGCACACTGGACACAAACAGAAAAGGTGTGTGAGGTCTTCACCAGAGCAACAAAGCAAGAAACCCCCACAAAGCATTTTTGGAGTCTTCAGGTCTTTTTCCACATAGATGCTGAAGAGGGAACCTCTTGCCAGCACTGCAGTATGGACCTGTAATCTGGAAAATTAGGATCAAGCCTCAGTCAATAAGCCCCAGGTCACAGGCCTTCTCCCTTCTGTGGTATCCCTCCTGCTGCTGGCCAGGCTGCCTGAGTATTTTGCCCATCCTGCAGATGAAATCACAGAAACAGCTTCATGTGGCCCCTATGCTATGGTGTTTTTGGTGCCTGGTGAAGACCTTCTTTTCTTCCAGATGTTTTAAGGTTTTTGTTGTTCTGTTAGATCATTGCTCTTCCCTTCCTTTCTTCATCCCCCCCCCCTTCCTTTCCTTCCTTTCTTCTTTACTGCTGGATTTACATTGGTTTTATGTAATGTATTGTTTTTACTTTTTGCTGCCAGCTTTATCTTGGTTTTATTGTCCGATCTTATTCATTGCTTTATTGTGGGTATTTTATGTTTAGAATGTATTGTATACCACCCAGAGAACTTGGGGTATTGGGTGGTTTAAAAGTGAAATAAATTAAATAAACAGCATAAATTAAACACAAATGAGATTTTTATGGGAAACCCCTTGGGGTGAGGACTTGTCATAACTATGCTATGTGAAGTACAGGTCTTAAGAAACTTCATGCATGGGATGGGATCATGGCCAGCATTGTATCTTTTGTGCTTTTTAACAAAGGCTTGCAAAAGCCACAGAAAGAGGGCAGCCTCCCTCCTAATTTTGCTAATTTTGGACATTTATATTGATGCTCATTGTAGAGATTCTGGTGCTGGATTATCCTGACTGATCTTTCTCGGAACTAATCACCTGTTGCCATCTACTGGCCATTAAACAGTCAAACAACACTGCTGTTTTCTTTTTTTATGTGAGAAAAGAGAAATCTGTGCCATACCTTATACACAAGCTGTGCTTGTGCTAAGATCCCTGCAGGACTAGCAGTTTAATGGGCACAGTGGTCAAAATAACATTGGAAACAACAAAAACAACAACATTGGAATAGTTGCTTAGTTAGCTTGATTTGCCGTGATTACAGAGCTATGACCATCTGAGGAATCTTTTCCATGAGGGGACAGGGGGAAAATTGCACAGCATTTTGTGGCTGTAGTTCGTGAGTACGGCACATATTGCTACAACACAACCTGTGCATTTTCCTTGTGTGTGCACTTCGATGCTCAGTGTCATATTCCATGACATTTAAAAATCTATACAACATAAGAGAAGATTGAGGTAACTGAACAGCAGTAATGCAGAATGGTCTTATATTCAAGAGGCATCAAAAACTCAAAAAAAAAAAAAAACTGGGAGTGAGGGATATTTAAAAAAAAAACCAAACACACATACTCCTGGACTCCTGTCTTTGATGCCACCTTTTGATGTTTGGTAGATACACAACTGCCCTATTTCAGCTACACCTAAACTAGATTTCTGACTTTTTAAAAGAAATAATACTGCATTTAATTCTTATCAAGGAAGAATTTGAATATCACTATGATTTTATTCATTGGCTAAAATCACTAAAAAAGAGGAGGAGGAGGCTGCTTTTGCTAAAAATACAAATTTAGCAGATGCCCATTTTTCCTCTTAGACTCTAAAAGGATGAGAGACTTGCCTTTAAAAAGAAAGACAGCTGGAAATCTAGAAATTAAGGCCCAGAGTCAACTGCCCTCTTCTTGAGGATTCCCATTTGTTTGTATATGTTTTTGTGTTTGTACATATATGTACATAAATACATGCAAACATAATCCTGCTTAAACATATATTTTCATGTTTTTATTGCACTCTTTCTGTAAGGTACATAGTGCAAATACACGAAGCTTCCCCATTTTGATCTTCAGAAGAACTCTGTGAAGTAGGTTTTCTTGAGCAAGAGCCACTAACTGGCTCAGAGTCTCCAAGTGAACTTTGCAGCTAACTGAGCAGGGATAACTCACCATTCTCTATATTCGTACTAACCTTTTCACTCTGAAAATGCATTCTATAGCTTTTCTACACAATGCTGTTAATCATTGTATGCACTTTCATTTTCACAGAGGAACTGA